CCCACTGCTTTCCCCCAACCCATCAACCCTCCCCCTTCCCACTTCTCTATCCAGCTCAACTTCCACCATCCATCACAGCAACAGTCTCACCCACACCCCAAGTCCTCGGCCTTACTTCCTTTCCATTTAACTCTGGGAAAGTCCCGTCTCTGGATGGAACCTCCACCATCCTACCCCTGCAGAGGGTGTCACAGAAGCCCCAGTCCCAGCCATGTCATGTTGGGACTGCCAATCCCAGGGCCCTCAGCTCTGCCCGCCCTCAGTCACTCCAATTCATACCTTTCCTGGCACTTCCCACTCGTTTCTAAGCCCCTCCTGCCATTGTCACCACCTGCTTTACAGGGGAAACTGAGGCCATCAGACAGGCTCTCCTCTGATTCCTGGCTCAGACACAAATCTGTCCCTACACCCCCTTCCTCCCTCCCCTTCCTTCCCTGTCCCCACCTTGGGACCCCACTTGCCCAGGCAAGGCACTTGCTTTGTTTTTACCACCACCTGAGAATGCTAACATCCAGGAACAGCCTTCCAGAGCTGGTCCTCCAGTCAGGGCGGAATCCACCCATCCATGAAGGGCCCAGCCATCCACAGGGACCTCCTCTGGCCCCTGTGGGCAGGCACTGTCCAGGGTGCTGAGGGAGGCCGCGGATGGGATCCTGCCCTTAGGGAGCTCCCCGGAAACCAGGGAGTGTACCTGTATGTCCCCTGGGTCCCATCACTCATTTCTATTACTTTATTGTGCATGTGGAAAAGTGACAACCTCCCAGGCCAGGCCCTTTCTCTTGTGAAGTTCCTGGAAATGTAGCCTTTGCCATAGAAGCACTGGCTCTCCCCATGGCTAATGAACACAACCTGAGAAAGGAATGCCTCTTCCCTCCCGCTGAAGAAGGCAGACTGGGCTCAGAGTCACGGGGCAGACTTCTGACAGCTCCACAGAGGTGTCCCCACCCCACTAGCCCAAGGTGGAATGAGGGTCCCCCTCCTGCTCTGAAGGTCCCGGGACTCCACATACCAGCAACTCTGAGTCCCCCTGCAAAGCCTCTCCACAAAGCTCATCTATGCTCACCACAAGGTGACCCGTGTCCCTGGCCTGAGGGCCTGTGTCTCCCTCTGCACCTCATGAGTGTGTCCCTGGCCTGTCCAAGGGCCTGCGTCTCCCTCTGCACCTTACAAGTGTGCACAGCTACTACTAGTTTGGAATCTTGTCAAAACTGAAATTTTACATCCTTTAAAGTGTCAAGTACAGGAAAAACAACAGATGAAGTGAGCTCTGCACATTCCCTGATTTGGGGATCCTTCCCTTCGGGCTGTCTGCCCTGTCCTGACCAGCAGAGGGCGTTGCTCACTCATGCAACACTCAGCTGTCACCCCACCAACCCAGGTAGGGCTCTGTTCTAGGAACTGAGGCCTGAAGCCCACTCCTCCCCTCACTCTGGGAGGACGAGACTCAGGCACTTTCACCACCAGGATCCCTGATTCAACAGCATGTCCCAGCCCTGGAAAGATCCTTAACAAAAGTTTGTGCTCAACAAAACAAGTCTGCTCTGAAATCCATCCCTAAACCACCTGGATAGAGCACACCTGAGGTTAGACGGCGTTGACCGGAGCAGGCACATTCCTCAGAGCTGAGCAAGCAGAAAGGACCTGTCAAGGAGGGCCAGGCGCCAGCAGCCACCAGGCAGCCACTTCAGAGCTGCAGGCTCAGTGGCTGAGGGCAACGCCTCTCAGCCATGAGAATCCCATCAACCTCCACCCTAACTGAAGTCGGGTGCCTAGGGGATGGCAGGACGTAAGTGTGCCAAGAGGGCCTCTGCAGGAGATGCCAAGATGTCCCACCGGCCCCAACTCTTCAGATCCCAAACTCCAATTGCATCCCCAAGTCAGGGTGAAACTCGACAGGCACAGCTGGCCCCCCTTGGCAGGCGCCTGCAAATGCTGGAGGGTGCCGTGGATGGGGCAGCAGTAAGCAGCACATGGGGAGCCTCCTTGGGCAGGAGGGGCAGCAGAGGACAGATGCCTGCCTGGCTGTGAAGCAGAAGACCCCACCGTCCGCAGAAACCCCGGCCAGCCTGTCCTCATGTCCTGGATTTCCATTGTGGGGACACGGTTCAGCTCCAGCCCCACACCGCCTGGCATGTTTACAGCTGCAACTTTAGCAGGAACAGGCTTCCTGTGCGAGCTGAGTCTCTCAGGAGGCTGCTCTGCCATGCTGCTAACGGTCAAAGAGCAGGGCGTGGTCGCCTCACAGCACCCACAGGTGTCTTTGCTGGGCTCATGCTTTCCCTCCTCTCCACCCTTGTCTCCTCTTTCCCACAGCTGGCAACCATCCGAGTCCATTCAACTAAAATGACCCAACACCACCACGGCCGCACCACCATAATTAGCACAGTGCCTGCCACTCTGATAAGTTCCCCCACCTGGCACATGCTCCACTGTGTGTCCCATTTAACAGAGGGAACAAGTGAGGTTTGGAGCAGCATACCAAGCACACCTGGCGGAGAAGCAGCAATAGGCCGGGCCTTCACCAGCACCTGCCCTGCCAGGGAGCCGGGCACCGAAGCCCCTGCTTCAGCGACCGGCGGTGGCTGTGCCTCCGAGGAGTCCCCTGATGGCCATCCTGGTTGCAGCTCAACCCCACATGGGCCCCAGCTGATACCTGCATCCTCCGAATGGGTGTCTGAGGACAGCGGCTCATCCAGGGAAGCCTGGTCTGTCTTGGGGGCCGAGGGGCTCCCCGGCTGGGCATCTTCCAGAGTCTCCTGCTTGGGTGAGGACAGCTCGCTGTGGGTGGCTCGGGGGCCTCCGTCAGGGTTGCCCACTTTGCTTTCGGCATCTGCAAGGAAACGCAGCTGTCGGCCTAGCCTGTCCGCCCTCCCTGTGCGTTTTCGTTCACACCAAGGCCTCCCTGAGCAGTGTGCCTTCCAGGCCCTGCTGTGGTACCCTACTCCTGTCCCCCACATCCCCGGAGTCCTGGTCCACACCCTGTCTTCCTAAGGCAGCACCGAGCATCTCGACACCCTTTGGCCTCCGCCCTGCACATCTGCCTGAGCCCCCTTACTCCAACACCTGTGGGAGACTGGACAATGACCCCCCACCCTAACCCCAGACTCTGCCCTGGGGCTTGCTCTGGTCAGGGGGATGTCAGCAGGTTTGATGCAGCAGTGGTTTCAAAAGCATTTGCACACTGCTGCTGCTGGCCTGGTCCTCACCTCAAGGACACACCTAGCTAGTGGGCTGGGGCTGAGCTGCCCCACCCTGCCAGACAAGGTCAACCCAGACAGGTGACAACAAAGGCCCTGCGGTGCTGGAATTGTTAGGCGACATTATTGTGGCTCTGGATAACAGGTTCCCCTCCGCACCTATCACCCCCATGGGTCCCGCACTACACATACGCTTCTCAAAAACCCACTATGCATCCGGCACCGGGCGACCTGGGAAGGCAGGATAACAGGCACAACCCTGACCCCCGGCTGGCTCAGAGGCTCATGAGCCCAGAAATGGGGGGCTGGCAAGGACTGTGGGGCATCACAGAGCAGGGGTCCCAGGAGGAGGACACCAGGCTGCTGGCAGGGCAGAGAGGGGACCTGGGCTCCCCTTGTTTGGGGCTCAGCTGCTGGAGCCTTTGACAGTCTGACCGTTGACCCCTCAGCATCACATCTTACTGATGAGGGGCCCAGTGCTCAGGAGCATAAGAACTGGTCCTGGTCACACAGCTGCAAGGTGGCAGGTCCAGGCTGGGAGACTCGGCAGCTGATAAAAGTCCCCCCTTCTGAGGCACTGATCACAGTCCCCTGTAGGAACCCCTCGGTCCCCACAACTGGGTCATCAGGCCACCACAGTGCAGAGTGGCAGCGTGACATGCACACGCTCACGCAGCAGGAGCAGCAGTGCGGGGACACCAGCACGGCCCGGACTCAGGAGAGCTTCCTCCAAGCTGCCTCCCACCACAGGGCGGCAGGAGGAGCGTCCAACAGTGTGTCCCTTTCACTCCCAAAGCACCATGATTGGACAAGAAGTACAAGGTCACCCCACCCACGCATCCCCCACCGCAGAACTATCGGTGCCCACACAGCAAGTGTCTGGGCCTCAGTCTCCTCATCCATAAAATGGGGAGAATCTGACCACCTGCTTCATGGCAAAAGTGTGAGAATTAAATAGTTAACACACGCAGTGTGCCTAGAATGAGCACACACCTGCTAGCAATTGTCATTATTGCTATTGATGAGGGCTAGTTTTTTGGGGGTTTTTTAACCCTCACTGAGGATGTTTTTGTTAGCTTTAGAGAGGAGGGAGGGAGGGAGACAAACATCAATATGAAAGAGAAACAGTGATTGGATGCCTCCCACATGCACCCGACCGGGGGCTGAACCTGCAACCTTTTTGTGCACAGGCTGAAGCTCAACCAACTGAGCCACCCGGCCAGGGTGAATGAGAGTTTTTGATGGTGAGGTGGTGATGGTCTGGCCACTAAGCCAGGGCCGACATGCCCAGGTGATAACAACAGGCTCCCTTACCAGGGCCATCCCCATGCCCAGGACTCAGGCCGGGCCGTGCGTGCAGCCTCAAGGGATGTGAGCTGTGACCACAGCTCATCAGGTTCCCTCTGCGGCACACCCGTCTCCTCGAGGGAGGAGGGAGGTCAGCCAGGCCCGGAGTCTGCAGGTTGGGGGCTACAGAGATCTCACTGACGCAGCCAAGTCACCTGACCAGAGTCCAGGCCAGGGGCTGGCAACCTGTTCCTAGAAAGGAAGACAGATGGCCAACATGGACCACATGCCATACAATCAGTGCTGCATTTTCTTCCTGAATTTTTTACTTTTACAAAAACTCTTTAAGCTTAAAAACCATCCTTAGCTCAGGGCCTTATGAAGACAGCCTATGGTTTGTGACCACAGCTAGAGTTTACCGACCGACTTCTGACCTAGGAAAAGACCCAGACAAAAGCCGAGAGAACTTGCCCAGTGGACAAAACTGGGTCACAAAGCTCAAAACTAGCTTCTAGGGCTCTCAGTCATGACTGGCTTCTTCATACCTGACACACAGTTGGGACAATTTCTGCCACCAGCTTACTTGGTAGGGCCTTGTGAAGAACAGAGGTGCCAGCAGGCACCCCGTGAGGGTGCACACGGCCATCCACAGGCTCCGGCTCACCGGGACCTCAGTGCCTCGGGTGAGGCTGCCACCACTTCCCAGGGTAGACAGCGAGCCGTAGAAGGCACTGGCCTTGCCGCCACAGCCACCCCTCCCTACTCATCAACATCAACAAGAAGAATAAGCTGGTCAGAGCCTTGAACCTGGAGGGCCCCGAGGCAGCCTTCAGGGACCTGGGAGCTGCCCACCAGGCAGCAGGCCCCCCGCCCCCCTGCTCCAGCAGGCTCAGAGCTGCGGCTCATAATCTTGCTCAATGAAAAGTTACTGTTCCTAAAATAGCCCTGGTGGCAGGGCGGTTGCTAAGAAACGCTGTTGGGGTGGGGAAGCTGTGGGCGCGGCCCTCCCTCCTGCCCCATTTCCACCGCTGCCGCTTCCCTTCCGAGGGCCGCAGAGGGGAGCACGCGGCCCGGCCTGTGTCATCTCATCTGGAGTAGCCAGGGAGAGGGAACACACCACAGAACTCCTGCACACATGTGCACGCACACGCACACACTGCCCCTGGCATTCCGGCTGCACAGAAACCACACAGACCGGGCATCACTGCCCACGTCTGGAGGAAAGCCCCTTCTCTCCCGGGTCACTGAGCACAGCCGCCGGGTGACAGCTCTCTCACAGCCAAGGGTGGAGCACGAACCTCCTTAGGTTATTTAAGAAAATGCGACGTGGGCACAAACGGGAAGATGGGGGACAGGCACCCAGGAACACGCAGCGTCAGGCATGGAGACACCTATGGGCTACCGTCCTCACCACGGCATTTGGGTGGGGCCAGCCCTCGCTGGTCACGTGTCAGAGCAGAACGGCCACAGCAGTGAAAGTGGAGAGAAAATGGTCACATCCCCCTCCCCACGCAGACTCAGTCCCATCTCATGAATCCCACAACCACACAAGGGGCCCTGCCTGGTGCCAGCAGATCGCCTGACATCCCGGAGCCAGAGCAGAGGGGTCAGAGGGGGACATAAACGCAGTGTGGACAGTATCACAAAAACACGTCTCCAGGGTCAGCCCCCAGTCGTGCTGGTGGCTGCTGTGTAGACAGAGTCCAGGGTGACTCACACCTGTGTGTGCACTGTGTGTGCACGTACGTGTACAGGGCAGAGGGCCTCCCTCCTGGCCATCGAGGCTCAGCCACGAGGTCCTGGGGCTGCTAGAGACCCCAGGCAGCTCTGGAGGGTCCGTGGCACGAGTCCGTAGGGACTTCTCTGGGCCCCTCAGCCACCGTCACCCACTCAGCCCCAGGCACCCACCCTGTGTGGCGTCATAGCGACAGGGCAGCAGCCGCAGGGGGGCGCTCCTAGCTGCAGGGACTCTAGCCTGGTTGGGAGCAGGTGCTGGCTGCTGAGGGAGATCCCTTAACCCAAACCCAGGAAGCTGCAGCTGCCTCCTGGGGAGGGGGGCTCACGCCGCAGTTGCACCGGCCAGAGGCCTGAGGAGGAGATGACGCTGCATTCCCACTTGGGGTCCCCACTCGGGAGCCTCAGTGCTCACCTCCCACCCTTCTGGGCTCAGGAGATGCCACAGAATCCCACCAACACCAGCAGGAGTTGGGGATACAAGGGCCTGACCTGGAGCTGGACTAAGCCCCCAGTGAGAAAAGGCATTTTCTGAGCAGGCGGTGTCAGCCGCAGGCACCTGCTGCTGTACCTGTCCACAGGCCGTGACTGCCGCGGGCCCACGAGGTGAGACAGCGAGAACTCAGGCAGCACCAGTCGGCTGAGGCCGCAACCCTCCACTCCTCTGCCTGACCGCCAGGTCCCTTCCCTGAAGCAACGCCCGGGCTGGCTTCTAACGTGCCCTCCAGGGATGCCCTGGGCAGACACACTGCAGGCCCACTCGCCCGCCTGCCCACGGCTGCCCTGGGCTCGCACCGAGGCCGGGGGTGCCTATCACCCAGCCACTTCCTGGGGACTAATTGTCTTGACTGTCCATACTGGAGAGAAGGGGCAGAGAAGAGGCAATTTTCTATTGGACCCAGACCGCCTTTCCTCTCCCCATGTCTAATCTCACTGCACCCCACCCACTTTCCCTAGATCCCTCCCTGGGGTTCCCCACATCTTCCTACCACAGGGCCCCGCTCCTCTGGGGGGAAGACTCGCTCTGCTTCCTGGGTCTCCCCACTTCTGCGCCTGGGCGCACAGAGCTGGGCGCGGCTGGGGAGGCTTATAAAGCAGGCAGCCACGCCCGCAGCACTTCGGGTCAGGGCTGCCAGGTGACCCTCACGTGCAGCAAACAGAGCCGCCAGGTCAGGCGCACGCGGCACGTTCTTCGGGTGCCACATGCCCGTCCTTCCCCACACGCATCTCAGCTGTGGTCTTGACGCCCAGAGCATTCACAAGCTGCACTCACGCTCCCGCCCTGATTCCGGACACCTGGGCCATGTGACCCACCCGTGGTTCCTTCCCCCGCTCTGCGCCCTGGGAGGAGGGTACTGGGCGCACCTGTGCCCCCAGCAGCAGCACGAGGCTGCACAGGCAGGTGCTCCCCCGTATATGCTGCGGGATCAGTGACAACGCAGCTCCAGCTCCGGAGGAGAGGCCGGTGTCCGGCACCTCTGGCCCCTGCTCCATAGTCACTCACCAGAGGGAAGACCGGCTGCCTACCTACGCCCTGGGCAGAATCCAGCCCACACCCCTCCATGCAGAGCAAAGAGCAGACTCTACCTCTTGACATGGTTTATAAAAAAAGGGTAAGAAATATAACAGTTCATGAGCTACACAAAATTCAAAATTCAAGGTCCACAAATAAGTGTGTCCTGGGGCAGCCCCGCCCACTCTCACCTATTGTTGGCTTTTGCCTTTCAATGCAGTCATTAGTAGTGACAGAGACCCTATGGCCCCATGGCCTAAACTATCTACTATCTGATCCTCAATCGGGCTGGAGGGGGACACATCCCACACACACAGGCCAGGAGTACGGTCTGGTGGTCACCCTGACACCTTGGCTGCCACCATGGTCTGCCCCCGCTTAGGTCTTTGTTCTAAGCCCATCTGATGAAACCGGTCAAGAAAGACATGGCCCTGAGAGGCAAGCTGCCTTCCAGAAGTCCTTTCCCTTTGTCACCCCCATTCCTTCTTCCAGGAGCCAGTCCGTGTCCGTGTCCAGTCTTCCCTCACCAGTGATCGCATTCTTTATAACAGAGGATAAACAGCCTTAATTCTGTTTTTATTTTCCCTTCCCCAAGATCCAAAGTAAGGTTTGTTGGCAACACATGCAAAATGCCCCAAGTCTGCAGCTGTTTTGTCCCGTCCAGATGAAAATAGTCCCAGTTTCTCTCCCAGCAATGATGTCCCTGCAGAGCTAAGTCAGAACAGTTCTTCCACGTGCAGTCTGACCATGGCGCCATGTAACTGCCCACGCAGGCTTGCCCTGAAAACCATCCTCAGATTACCTGTCTTTGAATCTAAAGAAACAATGGCAAAGGCTCCAGACCACACTGGCTCTGGGAGCTGAGGGCCCAGCTGGGGCCACAGCATCTTAGAGCTGGACTCAGGAGTTCCCTCCCTGACTCCTGACACCAGGGCCAAGCGACAAACATGCCTCCTGGTTCAAGGCTGAGAGGGGGAGACAGGAGTTTGATAGGTGCCCCTGCCCACCCCAGGCCAGGTTCCTCAGCCAGGAGGAGAGCCCACCCAGCTCTGGAGAGTGAGACTTGGTGACACCCCCCCCAAGCCCAGGGGTGTTAGAACCAGACAGGCCAGGACCCATGTCCTGGGCCTGAGGCCTTCCAGTATCACCGAGAGGAAGGCAGGAACTCAAGAATTTCATGAATTAATGGTGCTATCCATAACAACCGTTGTTTCTCAGACACACAGAAAGGTGGCCACGCAGACACCACCATGATGAGGATCTCCAGACCAGGGACCGAACGGCCAGGGACCTGGGCCCTGCAGCTGCGTGACGCTGGCTGCCACCTTCGGACCCCTCACTGCTTATCCGCACACAGGGGGTAAGGGCGCCGGCCCAAGGATGCTGTGAGGACCAAGGGGTAAGGCAGATCCAACCCCAGCGCAGCACTGGCATATGGTCGAGGGGATGGTTGATGAAAGGTAGCAGCAGTGGTAGGTGGCAGTAAAAATAACACCCGGACCCAGGATTAAAGTGTGAATATGAAAACAGCACAGCCACCACTACCGCTTCAGGGAACCAGGAGGACACAAGAGCTTAACCCCCACGCCGTCAGCGGGAAGCAGGCACTCCCGGGGAAGATGACTCCTCTCAGCTCTGTGGCCAAGGGAGGTGGCCTCAAACTCCCTGATGGACTCTCAGAGCCCTCGGGGGCTGAGCCCATGGGCCATGACTGGGAATTTCCATTCCGCCCTGACGGGCTTCCTGGGCCCAGGAGAGACACCAGTTCTGTGTTCCTGGGCCCAGTGGCCCCCACTTCCCCTGTCCCCACTTACCCTGCTCCACCATCTCGAGCAGCCCCTTCTTGATGAGCTCCTCCCGACCCTGCCGGCCAGCCTTCTCCAGCGCTGCAGAAACACAAACAGCCAGGTGAGTCGGGCGGGGCACCCAGAAGGCCCAGGGAGGCCCAGGTGAGGTGGGGTTAGGGGGTCTTGATCCCTGTGTTTGGCAATCCCAAGCTTTCTCACTGGCCAAGCTGCCAAGCATCACACCTGAGAAGCATGCCTGGCATGACGCCCTTCTCTCAGCTGCCCCCACTGCCCACTGCTGCCCTCGCCAACGCTCCTTAATTACCCAGCCCTGGAACAGCCTCTCTCTGCCCAACCCCCTGGGGCACTTCACTGCGGTTCCGATTATAGGTTGCTAAACACTCCCTGACCACTGTCTAGCCACAGCCCAGCCTCGGTGCAGCTGCCCCTGAGCTTCCCGGGTGCACCCCAGCTTAATGCTTCCAAAGGCCTCACCAGGCACCCCGGGAGGGAAGAGGTCCTGGTCCCCACCACAGACCCCAGAGCGCGAAGCTCAGTTCATCCTTCCTGCCTCCCTCCCTGGAGCCCAGCACTCAGCAACCCCCATGTTCTCCCTGCTTTTCTCTGAGTGTCCAGAAAACTATTTGCCTACAGTTGAACCCAATTTTCAAATACAAACCTACATAATCCTTGGAGCCTCTTTAAAAGATGCGGAAAGAGAGCCGCTGTTAAGCCTGGGTGACAGAGGGCCTATGGGCGCCCGTGCGTGCAAGCACTCTGCCCAAGGCTGCAGGGGGCCAAACAGAGCAGGCCCACCTGTTGGAACTTGAGGTCCAGCAGCAGTGGACAAACAGGTGATGACAATGAAATTATTTCATTTGGTCACAATTCTTTACTGAGCACTTACTATGTGCCAGGTACTGAGCAAGTGCTGGGGCAGGGGGGTTACTGGGGAGTGGAACCAACTCAGCCCTCTTAGGGAGCAGCAGAGACAATGAGGTTCCTCAATGGGTTCTCACTAGTAAAGCATTGACTGAGCACCTGCTGTACACCAGGCACAGAGGAGCAAGACGGCCTGGCCTCTGCCTGAGGACAACGGGTTGGGGAGGACAGATGACAAACACCCACCAGAACCAGAGGCCCTGGGGGCAGAGGGCGCAAGGCGTCCCTGGGGTGTTTGCTCTAGAGCTGAGGATGAGCAGCGAAACCCAGAGGTAGCAGGGAGAAGATAGTCTAGGGAAAAGGAAGATCATTTCCTCTCTGTAGTCCACTGTAAGATCCCCTTTCCAGGTGTCTGAGCAGACAACACTGGGAAACTGAGCTCTGACTGTGGGAGGTGCTGTCCACTCTAAAAACAGACAAGCAGAACATGGGGGAGGTGTGAGAGCCAGGGGCCCTGTCACCCACCAGCACTGGTGACTCTCACAGGGGCCAGCTCGGATACAGGTGTCACCTGCTCTGACTCGTGGTCTCCCCAATGGCCCAAAGATGCGGCTGTGAGGGTCTGCTGTCCCCATGTCAGGGGACACTGCCCAAGCCCCCCAGCGCAGCTAGGGGCTCAGACTCCACTTCTCAAACCTCTGAGAGCTGTCTCCAGGGTGCAGCCCGACCCTCACCCCACCCCAATGGCGGTTGGCTTTGTGTTTTTTCTTTAAATCACCTTTGTTTTTACTTCACCCGTCCGAACCAACCGTGTCTGCGAAATCAGGAATTTGATATGGTGAAATAAATAACATTCCACACTGGGAGGAAAGACTGGTTTAGAAGAAATAAACAAAATGCATCCTGTTCCTGGGATCCCTAAATGCTTGAACAGGGCCTGCAGGTGGGGGATCCCTGCTCAAAGGTGGTGGTTCTGCAGGGTTAACCTGGAGCCCCTCGGTGCCTCTGTAGGGACCCACCGGACAGGCCACTCCCCGCAGGGCTGAGGGCCCCGGGCATGGAGTCCTCACAGCACACAGCTCCACCCTCCTGAGGTCACAGAGGTCGCCCTGCTTTGGCTCCCTAGGCCTCCCACTGATGCACAGATGTGTCTGCCCCAGCTCGGCGCCTTTGCATGGGCTGTTCCTACTACTGCCATGCTTTTCCCTGCCTTTCTCAAGGGGGCCAACTATGTCTCAGCTCAGCCACCTCCTCACGTGGGTCTTCGCAGGTTATCCAACCCAAGCAAGGTCCACCTGCCCTTCCTCCCCAGCAGCTGCGCAGTCCCTGCGAGGCCCCGCCGGGCCATGATGGGCTCACTGGCTCACAGGTCTGTGGCCCGAAGTCAGGGGAAAGCTCTCAGTGGGCGGCGCCCGGCCGCCCGTCACATTGCACCTGAGCCAGGAGGCCTCAGGATTTGCCAGACAACGGTGTCTGTTCTGCTCTTGTTCTGAACAAGGAGAATTAGTCCACTTTGGGGGTGGATAAAAAATAGTTATGCAGCGCGGGCCGGTGTGCTCAGTGGTCAGAGCACTGGCCCAAGCGCTGAAGGGTCTCGGGTTGATTCCCAGCCAAGGGCGCCCACCGGGCCGCAGGCTCCATCCTCAGTCCCGGCGGGGGCGCGTGCGGGAGGTGACCAGCCAACGTCTCTCCCTCTCCCTCTCTCTCCCCCCTTACTCTCTCTAAAAATCAATGGAAAAAATATCCTCAGGTGAGGATTAAAAACAAAAAAATAATAATAATTATGTAAAACGTATAAAAAGTGTGAGAGCAGGGCCGGCTGCTCCGAGCCCCCGCCTTGTCTCTGCAGCCTCTGAGCCCTGGGAAGGAAATGGGGCCCTGGGGCCGCGGGGGCCGCAGCCTGAGCCAGGCACTGACCAGGGCGGCCCCGGCCCAGGGCTCCTTCCTCGGGAGCGGGCCCTCGCCGTCTCCCGCCAGGGCTGAGGCGGCCGTGGGGCGCCCTCGCTGTCTCGGCCAGAGCTGAGGCACAGCCCGGGGGGGCCCTCGCCGTCTCCCGCCAGAGCTGAGGCACAGCCCGGGGGGGCCCTCGCTGTCTCCCGCCAGAGCTGAGGCACAGCCCGGGGGGGCCCTCGCTGTCTCGGCCAGAGCTGAGGCACAGCCCAGGGGGGCCCTCGCTGTCTCCCGCCAGGGCTGAGGCACAGCCCGGGGGGGCCCTCGCTGTCTCGGCCAGGGCTGAGGCGGCGTGGAGGAGCCTGCGGGCTGAGACGCTGGCCCCCTGGGTTTGCGTCTCAAGGCCCCGCCCCCCCCAGGATGCCGTCACCCAGGAGCAGGGCCCAGCGGGGCTGCGGGGTCACCGCCCAGCTCCCGGCCCACGGGCTGCCGGGCCCTTTGGGCGGCTCCCTGTCTCTGAGGCGGGTCCTGTCGCGAAGACGGGCAGGGTGGCGGCGACAGCTCTGGCCATAGGGCTGGTTCTGAACAGCCTGTGGGCCAGAAGCCCGCTTTGTGGCTGTTCGCTATTCTGGCCAGGTCGCTGCTGTCGCCACACGGCCCCACTGTTCAGCCTAAAGGCCACAGCTCCCAGTGTGAACCGTAGGGGCAGGGGCGCCACCGGCACAACCCGAGTTCCCCCAGAGCCAGGACTGGCAGCGTGTGAGGAAGCAGCTGGAGGTGAGTGGGTCCCGAGGGCTGGGCATGGGGAAGGGGGTGCCCGGGCGGAGGGCCTCTTCGGGAAGAGCTGAGAGCTGAGAGCCGACCCTCGAATCACCGGGGGCTTAGGGACCCCGGGGGCTTAGCGCTGTCACAGTGGGCTCCACGCAGGAGGGCTGGGTGCCTGTCACTCCCGTGGGGTCAGCCAGGGACAAGCCAGGGGCTCGGTGCAGGCTGGCCCTGCCTTTTTAATGAGGTCCGGGGTGACTGTGTGCCCCTTAGGGCCTGGGCGGTGGGTGGATAATGCTGCTGACCTGTCCCGGCAGGCGGGTGTGACCTGGACAGGCCCGTGGAGGGAGGCGACCTGGAGGAGGCTGAGCAGCTCCTGGTGGCCAGAGGCGCCGAGCACAGCCTGCCCGCCACGTGGTGCGGGGGAGACACAGCCACAGAGAACCCAGCGACAATGACGCCAGCCCTGCTCCCGTGCTCACCGGACGTGGTCTGCTTCAGTTTTTCGTTTTTCTTTTTCCTCCATTTCCAGGGCTTGAAGATCCTGCCCAGGGTGGCCAGTCGGCTGTCCCTCCGCACGGGCGGGGTGCGAATCCCTGAGACCAGATATTCGGAGCGCACCGGGGGCGTGGGGTCCATCTCATCTGCAGGACGAAAACCAAGGGAGGGCTCAGGTGATCACCAAGCCTACACGATTCCCCGAGGAGCCACTGTGGTTCTCCAGGGCCTGGGGCTCTGGCAGGGCCTCGGAGCAATGGAGACTCCCTGGGGCTCAGTCCAACCAGGAGCGCCCAACGGCGGCCTGTGCCGGCTCATGAGTGAGCATGTGTCCACACTGCCCTTCGGTGAGGCCCTGCCCCCTGCAACCCTCCCACAGCCGGCTGGAAGCCCTCACCCAATTCTGGGCACTGCTGGGCGGAAGGGGGCTCCACACGCACC